TACCGGACCGGGGACCGGCAACGGGATTGCAACCCTCAGCGTTGCCCCCGCACCTCGCTCAGCCAGTGAGCGGGAACCGGTCTGTATATGGGATCCGAACCCTCGGGCGGGAGCGCCGCCGCGCTTCCCAAGTGGCGCACTTATCCAGTGCGCCACCGGGCTGGCCCTTAGCTGTAGTTTTTGAGCAGCATTTTGCCAGTGACCTGGGTAATCATCAGGAATTTGCAGCATGTACACAGAAGAAAGTGAAGTTAGTGTCATAAACGGTATGTCATTATGCTATGCACCTGGTTCCATAAACACTCAGAGCGCTCAGCCAGGGCTGCTACCTCTTCTTAATCATGCACAAACCTGAAAGATAGGATTTGTCAAAGAAATGTCCAGAGATGGCTTTCCTCCTGACAGCCACACTCACAAGCTTAACAGAGCTTAGACTTGTGTAACCTCTAGCTGCCTTAGACCCCAGTCCCACCTTGGACATACTGTTTACAGGCTGCTCAGCCAGGAAGCAATGGTCCCCCATGAGCCACTCACACACCAGCAGGAAGGCAAGAGGCCAGCAGTGCACAATCATGTTCCAAGGCTCCTCTCCAGGGAGGGTCAGCTATGTTGGAGCAGACTTGTCACCAGGATGCCTGCACCTGCTGAGCTGCTGTCAGAGTGGGTAAAAATCCAAGAGGCCCCACCTGCAACCTCCGCTAATGCCTTAGCCCAAATTCCACTCTTGTCAGCCTGAACCTGTCACTTCAGTGGACAATGAAAATAAGTGTCAACTGTGTACCTCTTTCAGGAAAAAGACTCTATTGAGGACTACAAGCAATTGTGGAACTTGACAGTGGCATCTTGCAGAAGTAAATGAGGTACAGGTACAAATAATCAGAACTAAAAGCTATTCAGACAGGGGGTGATGAAGAAAAGTCGGTCTTTCATTCTGCTCTGTCAACAGAGAATTATGAACTTTGAGAAAGCGTTGGAAGAACAACAATCAAATCCCAAGATATCTGAAGATTGTTAAGACTGTCGAGACTCCCAGGACCAGCAATGGCTCAACTTGGTATTGGCCCTTTCAAGAGTCCAGCTCAAAACTCCAGGAGTCCTCTGGGCCCTGAACTGGGGCCCTGGACTGGCTGGCAGGCCACAACTGCTGCTGAAAAGCTCAGAACACGAGGAGAGAGGTAAAAATGAGCCAAGAGGGTGGAGGCAGAACGAAATCCTTCAGGGTCTTACAGAAGAATCTTCTAAATTCAGTTGTTTTCTAAAGATCAGCTAATTTCAAAATAAGAAGTAAATTATTCAACCCTAGCCTGTCCCTCCTACCAACCTTAAATTTTCCCCTTAGAAATCCAAAAAAGATTGCATTAAATCTCTGCTATGTGAGATGCATTTTTCAACACCAAGCCACACATGCAGCTTGAACACCTTCCCATTCTGACGTTGTTCACTCGTTCCAGGGATAGGATCCCACTCAACATAGCCCCCTCAGGTGTGGCCCTCACAGAGAGGAACATCTGCAGATGGTTTCCTGGTGACCCTGAGAGCTGAGAAGTCTCCAGGTGCTCAGACAGCCGATGGGAGAGTCCTTGTCAAGAAGGTAAGATACTAGGAAAGTCTGATGGGCTGCCCTATGGTGGATACTGCCCTGTGCTCTAGCTAGAATGACAGGAACCCACCTGGCATGTACCAGTTTTTAGACAGAGGGCTTGGCTTCATCTTAGGATGCATCTCAAATTCTGCAAATAATGTATCCCACATGCAGGCCTTTCCTTCCTCCTTTGAACAGTTATTTTCGACCAACCCCCAGCTAATGACTTGTCAAACTAGATCACGCCTGCCTGCATCTGTTCGAAGGCTGCTGATCAAACCACTCTAGGGAAAAGAAGCCATTATCCTGTTCAGTGCAAACCTCAAGTGATTATCTTGGTGCAGCGTGACTTGCTGTAGATAAATAGCACAGATGAGAAGCAAGCTGTCAGCTCCAGAAAACCATCTCCCCCATGGGTGGTGCACCCTGGTGTTCTGATTCAATAAAAAGGTACCTTGAGGTCTGAAGGCTCTTTCAAAGGGCCAGAGCCTTGGAGTACATCCTGCAGAATAGAAGGACTTAGTCCCACACCTGAGATTAAAACAATCACCCAAAAAGCAAGCTACTAAGGCCCATCTCTAGTCATACATCAGCACCATACTCTGCTGTCTGACATACAAACCACAGTGCTGGTATCAAAGATATCTGCAATGATGGAAAATATCAGATATTGGCAACAGGACTTTAGCCGGAAGACTTTCAGACATGCAAAAAAACCAAATAAGAACATTAAAAAAAGAAGTATGTGTATTTTCATATGGTACAAATGAATGTGTGAGGATAGCCAGGAAAATGCTAAAATGAAAAGAAGAAGGGATGAGCCCTAGTGGATATTAAAACATAGTATTAGGCTATAGACATGAAAAGTTTGGTATTGGCATATGCATAGAGAGATCAATGCAAGAGAATAGAGATCGATAGGCCTAAATACATACATAAATTTAGTAATTTCTAATATGTAGGAAAAAGATTAATTTAATAAATGCCATAAGGATGGTCAAAATATGACATATGCATATGAACATAATGAGGTACTATCTTTTACCAATCAGAATGACAAAGATGTTTTTATAAATCCAATAATACACTGTTGATGAGGGTGAGGGGAAATCGGCACTTTCATATGTTGTTGGGAGAGAACACATTTGTGCAATTTCTATAGAGGGTAATCTGGCAACACATACACAAATTTTAAATGCATATAATCTTCCATCAATTCTAGCAGCTTATCTTGCACATACTTATACTGTACACAAATAAATATGTGCATTGTATTTTCAAACTGCAGGCCACAAGCCATTAGTGGGTCTATGAAATAAATGTAGTGGATTATGACCAGAATTTTTACAAACATGAAACAGAACAGAATGGAGTACAAAGTATTACATACAGTGAGAGTAAGTAAGGATTCATGCAACTTTTGTTTCGGGCATGAATACTGGGTAGTGATGTAAAATGTTTTTCTTACAGTGAGCCCAGATTTAAAAAGAGGTTTGAAAGCCACCTCATTCTTTATAATAACCAAGGATTGGAAACAACCTAAAAGTAAATAAATGATGGTCCATCCATACTATACAGTCACTAATAAGAACGAGGCAGCTTTAAATATGCTGCCATAAAACAATCTCCAACATATACTATTAGGTGGGAAAAGCAAGATGAAGAACAATGGGGGGAGTACGCATCATTTGTGTGTCTTACGAAATATAAACATTTTTTAAAAAGTTAAAAATATACATATAAACATATATACACCAGGTAACTCTGGAAGAAACTGGTAACAGTGGCTGCCTCTGGGCAGGAGAACTGAATTAGAAGAATTACTTTTCACTGTAATCCATTTTGTTCTATTGACTTTTTAAAAACATGTATATGCATTACAGATGACAAAAAAAAATACGCACGCCATCTGGACCACCCCAACAATCCACCTACCTACACTGTACCTCAACTACAGCCTGGTACAGTAGAGTGGACAGTGGGATCTGAGCTCAGTTCCATCAGTTACTCTCTATGTGATCTTGGGCAAGAAACTTCATCACTCAAAGCCACCCTTTCTTCAATGCAAAAGCACACATTAAAACAATACCTGCCCCGAGGACTGAGGTAAAGTTTAAATGAGGTGATGACTTCAAGATGTCCCAGCACATAGTAGGAACTCAGTAAATGTTAATTCCTTCCTTCCCTTCATGAATTCTTAGGGACTGTTTATACAAAGACCCCCAAAATCATATAGGCCAACTCCTTTACAAAACTACAACTTGGGTTAGGAAATCTATGGATATAATGTGATCCCATTTTTGTTTAAAAACTGTGTGCATATATGTGTGTACATACAAACATATATTCATAAATGTGATTTGATCTGTAGGAAGAAAGCCATATGCAAGACTTACTGGAGAACATGCTATTAAAGTAGTCTTTGCTTTAAAAATATCTATTTATTGTCTGAATTTTTCTCAATGACGATGAATTACTATCATTATAAGGGATTTTGTAAAAAGGAAGAGTCTTAATGTAAGATGCAGGTCCAAAACTCAACAGGTATTCCTCCTATTTTAAGAAACTGCAAACAACAAAACTTCAGCAGGACAATAAGAGAATCCTACCAGGCTCAGGAACTTGTAATATCATGTGACTGATCCTTAATAAAGGGTCTTTCATAAGACTAAGGGAATGACTCCTGTTTACTTGAAAGAGTCTTTAAACATCTTCTTGGTTGAGCTTTGTTGTAATAACTAAATGCAATAACCTGATAGCAGGAGCTGGCTTCTGCTGGCCAGGTGCTGATTACCACCCTTCCCCCACCGGGGCCCAGCAGCCCCCCTACCTTGCCATCAGAAGCTGTGTTGATCCTGTAGTGGTACACCCTCCCTTCATATCTCAGCGAGATGGACCTCTGGCCAGGGCTGCTCTCGCTCTCCCGCACCAAGAAGCTGCCGTTGATTCCACTGCTCAGCAGATACTCTGCGGCATTGCGGGACACCGGTCCGTGGTACCAGGAATGTTTCTCCAGGCTGTTGACTGGCGTGATGTAGTTGCTCGGGACCCACCCTTGGCCATTTTTGGTTTGGGCTTCGCACCATTCCCCATTGTGATTGTAGCCTAAGACCCGGAGCTTCTCACCTGAGAAGAATGAAATGAGACATGTCAGCTTTAAAGACCAGCTTCATTCCTTCTCATTTATTCTTCTATGATTACTAAAAACCTCCATATTCCTAAATACTGATTACATTTTAACAACTCCACATAAATATATGCACTTATAAGTGTATAAGAATGCATGTTTATATATGAAGCTTCCTGTTTGTACTGAATATACAGATAAGTAGGTAGTCTCAGTTTCTATAAATCTGTTATGTTTACTCAAGTGCTCTGTGCCTAATATAAGGAAGCTTTTGGGGGATAAAATGCTCTTATTTAGGCGGAAAAAAGAGGTTTTCAGTATGTGGTCTAGGTGCCCTTTTCAGTATAAAAAATAGGGAAAGTTCTATTTCTGCTAAGGACTACTGTATAGAAACTCTTCTCCTTAAGGAGAAGTGACTCTGTTAGAAAGATGCCATTTTTTTTTCTGTATATCTCTGCATTCCAAACTGTAAAGCTGCCCTTTTAATTAGCAAAGAGGTAAAAATCACAATTCCCAGATTTCTCTCTCTTGCAACCATCGTTAGCAGCCCATAGCCCTTTTTTTTACCTTTAGTTATGCTTAGAGTGTTATCACCACTGGCCACAAAATCATACAGTGCAACGAAAAGGTTAGGATCATTTTCACTGGGCCCAGCGAGAAGGTTTTCCTTGGAGTTCCAGCGAGCAGCTTCACTCAGGCCTTGGGGCTCAAAGTCAGATGCTACTGGCCTCTGAAGGGCTTCTGGAAGAGAAAGAGGGGAACAGAAAAATTAAACAGGAAGAGCAAAAATTGGGAGAAAAATCAGTTTTATTCTGAGGAGCAAAAAGTCTATGTTTCCAGCACTGTATGTTCCTAATTTATTTCATTTTTTAACATCTGTACACACTACATATTAATAAGAAAGGTGGTTGGTTTAAAAAAAAAAAAAAAAAGACTCTTCCTTTACCAAATCTTGTGAAAAACACTAAGTATTTTCATTCCAAGATGGTAATTATTGTTCCCAAACAGTTTAGTTTTTTAAATTCATTAATTCAAAATGAATTTAGTTGGAAATGAAACTAGTCCATCCTCATATGTCTTTGCCATTGCTTATAATATGGAGTAAAAGTTTCTTGCTTTGAAACATTTAAAAATGTATCAAAGTGCATATGTGCACATAATTTTAAAATCAAATAGTACAGAAGAGCTTAGGATAAAAGACAAACATTTGCTATCCTAGTCCTTACCTTGTAACCGGCAGAGGCAATAGCTGTTTTTTGGTGATCACCTCCACTTCTCTAAATATCAGCTAGATCACCAGAGTCCCCTCCCCCAGTTCTCCTGGATGCCACCCTCTGCCAGTTATATCAGTAACAGACCTATGCTTCCATAGGTCCAGAGACAGCTAGAGACACCATGTTCCTCCAGGTAGAGACCACATGTCTCAATGACATATTCACGAGATAAGGTGTTACCACCCCACCCTTCCTCCAGCTTCCCTCCCCTTATGCCCATTCTCAAACATGATCTTTTTTACCTTTTTTTTTAACCTTGTGAAAATTAGTAACAGTTTCTTCTATTCTGTAATAATAAAGTCTTCCTTGCTTTGTCTATAACTAGATTCTAAAAGTTGGAAATCAGTCAATAGTTCTTATATTAGGAATGTAAGAATATTGTTCGCTTCAGGATCAAACAGTTCATTATTTTTTCCGGAAGACTCTTCTTGTCTTTTTTTCTTCAACTGTGCTCAAACTCTCTAGAATTTCTTTGTGACAATGACAATATGCAGAAAGGGTACTTCCAAACCAGCAAATCTACTCCGAGTGGATCTTATAGTTGAGGGACATTCTGGAGTGAAATCTGCAATATTTATTTAAGGAAATTACAATAAGAAATCAAACTTGAGGGCCGGCCCGGTGGCGCACTGCCAGTGTGCCACTTGGGAAGCGCGGCGGCGCTCCCGCCGAGGGTTCGGATCCCACATACAGAC